GTTTCTGCAGGTGAGCAATCAAACCATCATCCATAACGTGTCCTTCAAACTCAGCTAGGAGCTCCCATCTTCCCCTCAAATCTTTAATGAGATCAGTTGTAACTTCCTGAAATACCCCTGTTAAATGGCGCTTGATCTTATTCATCTGAACGACTCTCTACAGATCTGTTAGTCAGAATATAAATAGATTCTTTAATATCCAATTAAAAAACAGTATATAAGATCATGGTACGTTAAAATAACGTGCTTTAAAACACCCGATCCAATTACTTGAACTGCCAAACTTTAACCTCAGTCTTCAAGTTCTTACATTATCAAAGAAATCAGAAGACCGAAGGATGGCCCAGCGGTTATCGCAACCATCAGTTTCCTCCTTCTCAGTAGTTGTTGGTGTCTCGGCCTCGGTACCACAGTGATGTTTAATGAGGTGAGCTATAAGGGCCTCGTCTATTTGATGTCCAATAAACTCGGCAAGCAGTTCCCATATGTCCCTCAAGTCTTGTAGTAGTTCCGTTTCGATTTTCTAAAATGATGTGACTATACATAATTAAGTTAATATATAAGATCTTAACTTACAATCGTTGTCACGAACTATTGTTGTTAATATTTAAATAAAATAAAAGAAGTTTTCTAAAATAACTGTAAAAGAATTAAAGACCCTGTCACGACGTTCCTTAAATGTTATCCTCACCTGGTTATAGAAATCAGGTAGACGTAGAACTGCCCAGCGGTTGTTGCAGCCCCCCTCAGACTCTTCTGTTGGTTCAGCAGCAGTTGGTTTGGCAGTAGTTGGTTCAGCAGTAGTTGGTTTGGCAGTAGTTGGTTTGGCAGTGTGTGTGGGCAGGACAAGTCAAGCTTAACTTTGCAATATTATCATGTTTTTCTGTATCGTCCGATAGTAGTGTATCCCACGAGAGATGGATGTCATCTTTTAGTGATTCTTCATAGCTGGAACAGATCCCCGACTTGTACATCTCAGCTACCTCTTGGTTGGTCAGTTCTCGTTTCAGGATATTAAGTTTTGTCATTTCACCTCCGAATGAGCCAGATTGCCGAAAGAATGTCTCCATATTGTAGGTTCTATGATGTTGTCCGAAGACAAGACAACCGGTTGTTGAGAATTTCCGGCCAGAGCTCCAGAGGGTGTGGTGGCAGTCCCTATCTGCACGCCATCATAATATAGTGTCTTTTTGCCGCTGCTATATGCCCAAGTAAGACAAACATGGTACCACTGTGAATGTACTTGGGTCTGGCTGTGCGGAGTGTTGCTATACATGAGATAACTATAGACAAGGTTATCAGAGAGAATTATCTCATCAGATAGTCCCTCAGTGTTGTAGTGTATCCACATTCCATTACGAGATGTGGGACTGAGTTGTTTGATCCAGGAGCAGATCGACAGCTCCTCCTCCAGGGGTGACATATCTGGGGCTATCATAATGTAGCTTGAGCGATCGTCTCCAAACTTTAGAGCAATATGAGGTTTATCACCGAGCACAGACGTCAGGAAGGGAAGCAAGAGGAGCAGGATATTGTACGCAAACATTTTGTTGGTTCTTGGCGGACGGTGGTGGTTACTTGTATCGGTCAGGAAGATTTCAGACTTGCTTCCTTGAGAATTTGCTGTCGTTATAATATTTCTTAAGATATTTTCTCTGTCCGGAATAATTTTATCATGTGATAATGTGATGTGTGAGTTACTTATAATCATTACCCTCTCACTATGACCATTGTCCACATTTACCCCCGAAATCATGTCCTTGACGTCAATAAGTGAATTTTACCATGAAAACAGTGATATTATCAACATCAAAAAAGTGCAAAGACTATTTGATGTCATCGAGTAGTTAAATCAACAATTGCAAAAAGATCATGATGAAAGCGTTCCAGATCAGCTACATTCCATGTCTTACTCTTAGTTTAAATCTATGTATCATTTTGGTAATCACGAAAGAGCATAAAATTTAAGGTTAAATTTTCCTAAAATTGTTCTAGCAATAGTCCTGGTTTGGTCCCGACCTGATTGCCGAATTTTTACCGTTACCAGGACTTCAAAAATAGTAGCTGAACAAGCAATTAGTGGGTGTTCCGTGTTGGTGCAAGCTAGATAGAGCAGGAAGCAGCATTTAGAGGTTGCTAGAAATAACAGGTTTCCAATTCCTTAATGACCTGGAAATTGTTGGATGCAGCGGAGGCAGCCGGAAAGAGCCAGAATAAAATGTTGCTGATGGTTGCTAAACTGGGCAAGAGGTAGCCTACTAGCCTAAGCTAAGGTTGCTAGAAATACAGAAGTCGGAAGAACCGAAGTAGGCGAACACAGCTGGAATTGGTGGTTTCTGCCTGCAGATGGTAGCTGGAGAGAGCAGGAAGTAGTAATTAGAGGTTGCTAGAAAAATTAAAGCAATGATGTTAAATACGTTTCGTACCCTACAAACGTACGGCGAAAACGAATACGTATTCCTCAAGGGTGAACGATGTACTTCGAAATCGAATATGGGATATATATTTTTTACATATTTTTCATTAAAACGCTTAGGAAAGCTTCTGCAAGTACAAAGTAGACATTGTTACGTAGGAACTGTGCTGATTATACGAGTTAACGTCCCACGAGTGACAAATAATTTAGTAACCGGGTAATGGTTACTCGAAAGTGATGCCTTCCTCTGATTCTCCTTGATATTTATAAACGCAGTAAACAGGTTAGCATCAGATGACTGTATTCCGAGTTTTGTATTGATGTGATGCAGATACGGGCACTTATCTACTCACAAACATGTTTCAACCTACCAGGCAATGCAATATTGTCTCCTTATTTGGATGTAAAAAACCGATACACGAGAATTCCGGCTCTATAGTTGAAGCTTCATTTTTACTTCTTGACTCTGCACGTGTCTTACCAAGATATTGTACGGCGGAATATTGTAAGTTACTATTTCTATATTACACTAATGAGTAATGTAGAAGTGTTTCACAGTGAAAAGCATAAACTGTGTTTAGAGAATGTCCACATAATTTTACACGATGAAGTGTTATTATTATTATAATTATTATCATATTGATATTTCAATGTAATTAAGTTTGTATCTTGTTTTTATAAAGTAATGTGAAACGAAATATGAAACATATCATATAATAATATGTCATTTCTATGACGTAATGATGAATATAATGTTCGAAATTTTTAAATTAGACACAATGTTCCACCCAGGGCTCCTATTCCGTGCGCGCATAATATTTTTGCTTTCAGCAAAAATAAAATCAAGAAAAATATCATGTCTCTTTATCAGGAGAGTTCGGATGTTCCAGAAAGTATAAGTTGTGGCACAAAAGCAGGGAATAAAGCATGTAGCCACAAGAACTGTAGATACTACATTATATAATACACAGATTCCACACTTACATAACACGACAAATACGTTACTTTGTCTTTTATTTTATCAATAAATTAAGAAACGTTATAATTACGTCAGCCTCCCTACAATTCGAGTCAAACAGTAATCCCACGGTAGAAACCAATTAGAATTTAGAAGCTTTATCAATTAAGAAGGGTTTGAAATTATAACATTGGTACTACTATAATAGTACTATCATGCAATCGTGTATACTACATACTACATACTACGTACTACGTACTACATACTACATACTACATACTACATACTACATACTACATACTACATACTACATAATACATACTATTATAACCGTTGTATTAATTGTGCATGATTACATGATAGTAGTACTACACGTCATCATGTAGTGCTTTATTGTAGTACTCACACATACTATATTATAGCTGTCTGCTTAAAACCAGGAACTACGAACAGTATGTTAATTGTGTAACGACTCATAAATACACACTATAGCTTTAACTTACAGAGCCGTTTCTCTGTGAGTAGACTCGACTCTACACTCTACACTCTACACTCTACACTCTACACTCTACACTCTACACTCTACACTCTACACTCTACACTCTACACTCTACACTCTACACTCTACACTCTACACTCACTGAGTTACTGCTGGGTGGTATTATAATAGGTACAGTGGTTATTGTTCTGTCTACTAAATGTAAACATGATAACAACCTCATTGCTTATCTAATAACTTGTTTTTCGATTTTAGAGCTAAGCAGTTACATTCACAATGTACACTCAGAACGTCATATTGAGAGTTCTTTCGGAAAAAAAGTCTGAGGTCATGGTTTTTAATTCTCCAAGTATGAAACACCAAGTAACGCGAACGAATTTTAAATTTAGGAAAAGCATAATCATAAAACATTCAGAAGCAGCATAAGCTATTTTAAAATCAAGTTATGCCTTTAGAACAACGAATGCAGACTACAGACCATTACTTTTGGCTCTAATTCTCAAGACTAATATTACCACTACTATTATTACTTATACTACTAAACCTGATCAATACTTGCATTAACACTATATTTACACTATATTTACACTATATTTACACTATGTTTACACTATATTTACACTATATTTACACTATATTTACACTATATTTACACTATATATTTACACTATATATTTACACTATATTTACACTATATTTACACCATATTTACACTATATTTACACTATATTTACACTATATTTACACTATATATTTACACTATATTTACACTATATTTACACTATATTTACACTTTATTTACACTTTATTTACACTATATATTTGCACTATATTTACACTATATTTACACTATATTTACACTATATTTACACTATATTTACACTATATTTACACTATATATTTGCACTATATTGACACTATATTTGCACTATATTTGCACTATATTTACACTATATTTACACTATATTTACACTATATTTACACTATATTTACACTATATTTACACTATATTTACACTATATTTACACTATATTTACACTATATTTACGAACGGACGGCCTGATTAGAGACTGACTGACCACTAACTTCAGCTTCTGTCCCCGACAAATGATCAGGAAACATTACAGGCTTCAGTAAAACGAATGGTGTCCGAGAAATCAATTCAACAGGCTGTATCTGAGAAGGAGAAAAAACTCGAGGTGAGATATTGTCAATTGATTTTAAAGCGAAAATTTGATAAAATCTACTTTAAAATTTGATTTCATAGAGTTTCATCTATGTTTTTCAACATGAAACTAATCTTACCAAAACATGCTTGCAATTTTTGCACATTCTTGCAATTTTATCAGGTAGTAATTGAAGACCCAAAAAGTAAAGAAAAGGAAGGTCCACAGGAGATGGTAAGCTTCCTTGAGATAATGCAGGAGAACAATGCGTACGAGAACGCGTGTATCGTCGTGGGTATGCCAGCTTTTCATATTTTATCTGAATTCTCATTGGAAACCTTAAATGTCAGATGAAGATTCGTTTGATGTGTCACATGATGCACGTATGTTTTATGCTACACCTTGTTATTAAAAGTTCTGATATTTTAAAGATGTCATCAAATAAATGATGGTTAAATTCTAACTGGATGGTTTTCCTTAGGTGCTTTTGGTGCTGCCGCTAACGGTGCAACCATGCCAGTCTTCGCAGTCCTCTTCGCGGAAGTTATTCAGGTTAACATTATCTTTTTACATTTCTTAATTTCTACTGTTTGTTAAACGTTTATTCTAGATTATAGATATTATCAGTTTCCCCTTGGCCGAGTTATCGCACCGGGTCTGGATCTAATTAGTCTAGTGAATCAAGCCAGATTGAATAATCGATCATTGAATTTACCTGCAACGTAGATTGAAAGAAGTGCGACTACACCCCACGCTATGATATTCTAATGGATGTTACGCTTTATATTAAAATATTAGCGACAAGATAAACACTATTTTTGGACGTGAGGAGAGTTAGTACTCGGAGTCCTCACTCTCGGAGTCCTGGACTCCTCAAACTACATTATATTAGTATTTAAACTATGGGGTACATTATATCCTAACATTTAACCTCTCAGGCCCTGGCTTTAGTGTTGCCGGATCCACTTGACCCGGACAAAGAACCTGACTACAGCAAAACCAACGAGTGGTCTTTATTCTTTGTAATTGTCGGCCTTGTCGCTGGTCTTGCCAACTTTTTACAGGTATGTAGGATTTTGTATGTACTATCTCAGTTTCAAATCTTTTGATTACAGTTTAAAGGAATATGTTCAAGTTCTTTATGTAACTTCTGTGTTTTCAGATAAGTTCGGCAACAAAAATAAAACAAATTATTACGTTTCTGAATCTGGAAATTATCGTTAATATGACAACCTTAACCCTTATGAATGTGATTCTAAAACTGTGCACCATTATTCAGATTCATTTCATGAGCCTCAGTGGTTTAAGCTTCACAACGAGAATGCGACGGAAAGCTTTCAAAGCTCTGCTCCGAAAGGTAGGTTCCTTTGTGAAAACCTTTTTCACGGCGGAAGAACTTGACACGTGCTATTTTGAAATACCCGAGAAATTAGAAAATTCTCAAAATTTAAATAAGTTTAATCAAAGTATCGTGCGGTTATAATAAAAAAGCATCCAATTCCCTTGAATCAAATTTGAAGTTTTGTGCGGATATGATATAAACGCCTCTATTTTCCAGAACATGGGCTTCTTTGACCTACCAGAGAACTCGATTGGAGCACTTACTACTCGCTTATCAGAAGATGCGGCTGCTATCAAAGGGGCTACTGGTTTGTTTTCTAGTTAATACATTCAGCTAGTTACCAGGCTTGTTGCTTATAAACAAGCTTTTATTTAGATGAATTGCGGTTTACGGTTTATACCAGGAGAAATCGGGTCCTGTTCTGCACCGGATCGTTTTGGTCGGGCACGGAAAAGCCTGATCTGGTCAGTGGTCGGCTAGTTCAAATTCTTTAAATTTCCCTCAGGAGTTAGGATTGGTACGATATTACAAAACTTAGTTGGATTGGGAGTTGGTATTGGGATAGCCTTCTCTGCAAGTTGGCGTCTTTCTTTGCTCACTCTCGCTTGCATACCTTTCGTAGCTGCTGCAGGTAATAATTGTATATCATCTTCATTATTGTAAAGTCATTTATCATTCATCCCAGGGAAATTTTCCCAACAAATGGATAACAAAAGGCACTGACCCTGGCCCCTCCCCTCCACATTACTTTGTTTTTCCAGGGAGTGTCCAAATGATGCAACTGGCTGGAACTATGAAAACCATGACAAGGCTTTACGAACAAGCTGGCCAAGTTGCTGCTGAAGCTGTCGAAAACATGAGGACTGTTTCTTCGCTGTGTATCGAGCGACTGTTCTTAAAGAAATACGCTGCCTCCCTTAAACAACCTTCCCAGTAAGTTTGGATAACTTAAATTCTATTTCATGTCAGTTCTGTATAATGTTACTTTTCAAAAAGAAGATATTTCATACATTCCGATTGCCAAATAATAAGAATTGCAAATCTCAGGAAGTTTAAGAAGCAAGCCCATTTGACAGGAATATCCATGGGGCTGGCTGAAGCGGTCATATTTTTCACCTATGCTGCTGTATTTACGTATGGCAACTATCTCATGAATCTACCAGAGGGACACAGTGGTAAACTGACTTTTACTCAGCTCATGAAGTAAGCCTTATGTTCATAATTAGGTCTGTTCAATTAACATGCATGTATTTATTGTATTTCTGTTTTTTTTAATTAAATACTTTTCAAATTTTACAGTGATATGATGTTGGGAGTATAAAGGTATAAGGTAGATAGAGAACAAAAAAATATATATGGGGAGCAAAGAGATAATTAGGCTAGACTGTTCTTTCACTATCCAATAAACATTTCCATAGATGCTTAGTGACCTCAGATTTGAAAAGACTAGTAGACACAATCTGTCACAATTCTGACTTAACTTAGGTAAAATTGATGACACAATAGACAGACTGTCGGCCAAATTGCAAGTGAACTGTCCTATTCAAGTATGAGTCTGATACACTTTAAACAAAATGCCGTGAATAATGGAAAATACTTCTTACAGGGTATTTTCTGGGATAGTCTTCTCAGCCATGACAATTGGTCAGACAATGTCATTGTTACCGGACTACGGAAAGGCGAAAGCAAGTGCTTTCAAGCTTTTCAAACTCATAAGAGAACCTCCCATAATCGACGCCTACACCGATAAAGGAAAGAAGGTGAGAAGTTTATTAGACTTTGGTTGAATCTGAAAAGTATGTATTCAGGTATTCAGGGGAACCTTCGAGATGTTCTAGTAGTTCTAGATGTTCTAGATGTTCTAGATGTTCTAGATGTTCTAGATGTTCTAGATGTTCTTTTAACGGATTATGATGTAAACAATAAATTAGTCCATTGGAGAATTCAGAATGGAGATGCTCCCCTTACGAGGGGCTTTCAATAAATATTTGTGGCAAATTTATGGCATGCTTGCCAATGATATTAGAACGTAAAGTAACCCATCTTGGGATGTTTTAGGCTTAGCTTTTACTAAAATTGTGGCATAGCTTGCTCCTATTTGTGACACCTTCATAACAACTACTGTTACTTACTTGGGTTACTTGGGTTGGGATCCGAGCTAGAGTGCTACCAGGCCAAGAATGTCTTGCATCTCCACCGCCATGTAGTAGCGTGTCAGAGACACGTGCCACCGGCCCACTCCAGCATTGAGTTCCTGTTCTGTCCAGTGTACCCAGGTGTTGGTGGAGTGTCAGGGAATTCATTGAGGAAAGCATCAAGAGCGGGTTTGAAAGTGGTCAAGGTCAGGAGGGACTTGATGGCGGGAGGGACCACGTTGTACAGTGCAGAGGCTCTAGAGGCAAAGGAGTTGAACCTCAGGTTATTGACACTTGTGTACTTGGAGGACCCTAGTGGTCGTATACACGTAGTTCCGTATCGTGAGGTCTCGCGGAAGTTGATGTTCGTGCTGTTTGGAGCGAGATTGTTATAGATCTTCCAAACTAGGATGATAGTGTATCTCTCACGCCGCCTTTGAAGGGAGTACATAGACAGGCGACGGAGGCGTTCCCAGTAGTTGAGATTTCCAAGACCCTGGATTTTAGCAGTGAAGGATCGTTGAACTGCTTCGAGTTTAATAATTTCGCACTGCATGTGAGGAGACCACAGAGGACAGCAGTATTCAAGATGAGATCGTACGTAGGACTTGTACAGGAGCATCATGGTCGCTACATCCCTGGAGATGAAGGTGCGTAGCACCCAACTAGCCATGTTTCTGGCTTTGGCAGACTTCATCGCTATGTGAGTGCGCCAGTTGAGGTCTGGGTCGATATAGACACCCAGGTCCTTCACGTGGTCAGAGCCCTTAAGAGTCTCTCCAGATGGTAAGATGTAGGGCTGCTTCAAGTCCGGTAGTTTGCCGTGTTGTAGAAGCTGGAACTTTTCCTCGTTAAGCTCCATGTTGTTAGCATCAGCCCAATTCACAACCGAGAGAAGATCTTCTTGGAGAAGGATGCGATCGATATGGGAAGATATATCTTTGTGGAGCTTCGAGTCATCTGCAAACACTGTAATAATTGTATACCAAAAATATACACTGAATCAATCTAAAATGTTCAGATATACAGCAGGGTGTCATAATTATTGGCGCGTAGACAATTTTGCGTAAAATTTTAGCTTACCCAAGCTTTTAGAAACGATCATTACTTGACTTCTGAGGGTCAGTTTCCTATGGAGTCTTGATCATCCGAGAGATAACCCTTCATACTACAGTTCAGTTTAAAAACGAAGTCCGAAAGAAGTTAAATTACGTCGATAATCACGACGAAAGAGAAAAATTTGGATTATTGGACTTGAAGCCTTCGGCTGCTTCCCCTGAATTCCGGGATGAGTCCGCCTGATATTTTATTGCGTCAGTTAGAGGAGAAAGAGAGCTTTGATAAAATCTATAGTTTTCTATATGTTTCGCTATCGCCTGAAGAGCTGTGCACTTTAGTCTAAAGAATAATTTCAGAAAAATTTCACCGAAAAAAAAATACACAAAAATCCCTTATTACTCCTTCGTAAATCTAACCAAGTATGGAATTGACCCTTTGAATAACGGCCTAAATTACGGGTTTTGAGGTACATCAACACAAAATTCTGAAATTAAGAAAAATTTCAGACGATTTTCTACAGACCAGTTTTCGAATTTTGTAATTTAGATATTCAGAATTAGTAAAGTTATGACCCGTCGAAAAATATTGATTCCATCATAAATTTCAAACACGCCAATAATTGTGACACCCTGCTGTTTATTTATTTATGGCATGCTTGGCGCTTGCCAATGATATTAGATCGTAAAGTAACCCATCTTGGGATGTTTTAGCTTTTACTAAAATTGTGGCACAGCTTGCTCCTATTTGTGACACCTTCATAACAACTACTGTAATAATTTTATACCAAAAATATACACTGAATCAATCTAAAATGTTCAGATATACAGCAGGGTGTCATAATTATTGGCGCGTAGACAATTTTGCGTAAAATTTTAGCTTACCCAAGCTTTTAGAAACGATCATTACTTGACTTCTGAGGGTCAGTTTCCTATGGAGTCTTGATCATTCGAGAGATAACCCTTCATACTACAGTTCAGTTTAAAAACGAAGTCCGAAAGAAGTTAAATTACGTCGATAATCACGACGAAAGAGAAAAATTTGGATTATTGGACTTGAAGCCTTCGGCTGCTTCCCCTGAATTCCGGGATGAGTCCGCCTGATATTTTATTGCGTCAGTTAGAGGAGAAAGAGAGCTTTTATAAAATCTATAGTTTTCTATATGTTTCGCTATCGCCTGAAGAGCTGTGCACTTTAGTCTAAAGAATAATTTCAGAAAAATTTCACCGAAAAAAAAATTACACAAAAATCCCTTATTACTCCTTCGTAAATCTAACCAAGTATGGAATTGACCCTTTGAATAACGGCCTAAATTACGGGTTTTGAGGTACATCAACACAAAATTCTGAAATTAAGAAAAATTTCAGACGATTTTCTACAGACCAGTTTTCGAATTTTGTAATTTAGATATTCAGAATTAGTAAAGTTATGACCCGTCGAAAAATATTGATTCCATCATAAATTTCAAACACGCCAATAATTGTGACACCCTGCTGTTTATTTATTTATGGCATGCTTGGCGCTTGCCAATGATATTAGATCGTAAAGTAACCCATCTTGGGATGTTTTAGCTTTTACTAAAATTGTGGCACAGCTTGCTCCTATTTGTGACACCTTCATAACAACTACTGTAATAATTTTATACCAAAAATATACACTGAATCAATCTAAAACGTTCAGATATAGATGGGGGCAAGCGTGCCACAAATTGTGGCTAGAAATGGGCCCGTCTGCCTCAAATGTGGTACATATTTTGAGAGCACGTTTCCTTGATTTTTGTAGGGGATTTGTAGGGGATTTGACGCTTGTAGGGGATTTATGTTCCGGGGTATTTGGAACAGGTTTAGGGATTTAAATAGTTAGTACCTGTCCCAAACCATCAGAAAAATCAAGTTTTGACCTCCCAACCCACTCAGGCCACTCCCAGGGGCCACGCCCATCCCAAAATAGCTGAAATCCAGGTAAAATCAAGATCGAAAATCTTTACCCCTGTAGGGGATTTATGTTCCGGGGTATTTGGAACAGGTTTAGGGGTTTAAATAGTTAGTACCTGTCCCAAACCATCAGAAAAATCAAGTTTCGACCTCCCAACCCACTCAGGCCACTCCCAGGGGCCACGCCCATCCCAAAATAGCTGAAATCCAGGTAAAATCAAGATCGAAAATCTTTACCCCTGTAGGGGATTTATGTTCCGGGGTATTTGGAACAGGTTTAGGGGTTTAAATAGATAGTACCTGTCCCAAACCATCAGAAAAATCAAGTTTTGACCTCCCAACCCACTCAGGCCACTCCCAGGGGCCACGCCCATCCCAAAATAGCTGAAATCCAGGTAAAATCAAGATCGAAAATCTTTACCCCTGTAGGGGATTTATGTTCCGGGGTATTTGGAACAGGTTTAGGGGTTTAAATAGTTAGTACCTGTCCCAAACCATCAGAAAAATCAAGTTTTGACCTCCCAACCCACTCAGGCCACTCCCAGGGGCCACGCCCATCCCAAAATAGCTGAAATCCAGGTAAAATCAAGATCAAAAATCTTTACCCCTGTAGGGGATTTATGTTCCAGGGTATTTGGAACATGTTTAGGTGGTTTAATAGGTAGTACCTGGCTCAAACAATCATAAAAACCAAGTTTCGACCTCTTGACCCACTCAGGCCAATCCCAGGAACAATGCGCAACTATTTGTAGGGGATTTGAAAACCGTGTTAAATCCCCTACAAATCCAGACTGAGAATCTTTACCCCTGTAGGGGATTTATGTTCCGGGGTATTTGGAACAGGTTTAAGGGTTTAAATAGTTAGTACCTGTCCCAAACCATCAGAAAAATCAAGTTTCGACCTCCCAACCCACTCAGGCCACTCCCAGGGGCCACGCCAATCCCAAAATAGCTGAAATCCAGGTAAAATCAAGATCGAAAATCTTTTCCCCTGTAGGGGATCTATGTTCCGGGGTATTTGGAACAGGTTTAGGGGTTTAAATAGATAGTACCTGTCCCAAACCATCAGAAAAATCAAGTTTTGACCTCCCAACCCACTCAGGCCACTCCCAGGGGCCACGCCCATCCCAAAATAGCTGAAATCCAGGTAAAATCAAGATCGAAAATCTTTACCCCTGTAGGGGATTTATGTTCCAGGGTATTTGGAACAGTTTTAGGGGTTTAAATAGTTAGTACCTGTCCCAAACCATCAGAAAAATCAAGTTTTGACCTCCCAACCCACTCAGGCCACTCCCAGGGGCCACGCCCATCCCAAAATAGCTGAAATCCAGGTAAAATCAAGATCGAAAATCTTTACCCCTGTAGGGGATTTATGTTCCAGGGTATTTGGAACATGTTTAGGTGGTTTAATAGGTAGTACCTGGATCAAACAATCATAAAAACCAAGTTTCGACCTCTTGACCCACTCAGGCCACTCCCAGGAACAATGCGCAACTATTTGTAGGGGATTTGAAAACCGTGTCAAATCCCCTACAAATCCAGACTGAGAATCTTTACCCCTGTAGGGGATTTATGTTCCGGGATATTTGGAACAGGTTTAGGGGTTTAAATAGTTAGTACCTGTCCCAAACCACC